CCTAGGGTAGCACTACCTCCTCAAGGCACTTGATGCAGGCCTCCGAGTCGCCATACCTTCATAATCACTATTAGATTCATCCAACTCTTTCTGAAGCCCCTGCACTGTCCTCAGATTGACACCTAAATGCTCTGAAATGTTTGTATTTGAGCTTCTAGCACAAACGCCAAGTGGTACAGCATGCCATTTCTAAATTTCTGGTGGAGTGAATTGCATTATGGTGCTCAACTGACTTTACTATACTGTACTATACTGTGGAGTTGACAAAATAAAAAACAAACAGTGCACATGTATGAAATTATAAATATTAAATAGCAACAATTTACCCAATGCACCCAGTATATGTGTATAAACTCACGTGTGATCTGAAATGGAACTCATACATATGATGCATTGCTAAAGATGTAGGAAAAATGTTTGGCTGTCTGTACGGCTCCAGTAAGTATCTGATTCCTCCTGCTACTGAGCCAGGTCAATCCAAAAATGGATTACTGCTGCCATATATGGGTGGGATCTACCCAGTCCTGACTTTCTACTCTCTCACTAGAATTCAAAAGCATCTCCAAGTCCTTGTGGGTGACAAATTATTTTTCAACTTCTATCCTCTCTCATAGGCAGAATGTGGCAAGACTCTCACTTCTTTATCTCTCTTTCCATGAAAAGTGCATGGATAAAAACTACATTCCTTGCTTCCACTTGTCCTAACCTTCATGGCTAGGACTTGCCATGCCACTTACATTTTATCAAATCACCCATATTACCTCCATATTTCATTGGTGAGAAGTAAGTTCCACTCAAACAACTTCTTCCCATGAACCCCTGCTTTGTGGAATTGACTCCCAAGATGATGTTTTCCCAATCACTACACTCTTAATCTGTTCACAACTAGGGTTAACCATTATCTCCTCCTCATATCCATATAAAATGCCTCTTAATGTAACCCTCTACCTTGAGTGGACCTCAGATTTTCTACAGGGTGAACCTCACTGTAATATATATATATATATATATATATATATATATATATATATATATATATATATATATATATATATATATATATATATATATATATATATATATATATATATATATATATATATATATATACATATATATATATATATATATATATATATATATATATACATACATATATATACATACATATATATATATATATATATATATATATACATATATATATATATATATATATATATACATATAGGAGGCACGATGGAGTAATGGATAGCGGCTTGGATTGAGGAATCGCTACATTGCGAGTTTTGAATTCAGTCGAATCCATTACATTCACTTACGTGCTAATACCCTTGGGGAAAGGTGTGAATCCTCTTCCCTCCCCTCCAGCTATGGGTAAAATAGCAGGACAGACTGGGTTCTATAGCCTTGGATGGCAACTGGTCTAGGAGAAGGACAACTCTGAATTCAAAACCTGCGGAGGGTCATTTGGGAACCTTGTGGCATTCGATGCACCAGGTCGCTGTATTCGTCCCTTCAAAAAGTGTGGATGGTCCTGCACGAGGCCTTCACCACTATAATCAAATGTCATGTGTTGGCGTTGGGCTGTCGGTTTCCTGAAACTGATCTGCTTGACCCTCATATGTCGAATCTCGACGGGAGAGTCGATTATTATTATTATTATATATATATATATATATATATATATATATATATATATATATATATATATATAAAAATAACAAAGATTGTGTTTTGAAAAAAAAAACAGGAGATTTCTGGATGTTTTTAACCCTAGAACACTAACCATCAATTAAAGTTACACCACTACTAACCATAGGTATATCATACTCGATTTTGAAAATATCAAAAAAAATATTAAATATAAATCTTTATTTGAAATATTTTACATGCAGGCACTTCAAACTTTGTACTTTGAATTAACATTAATAGGAACTGAAAAACATATTATTTAGGTAAGAAAATCAGGTACTGAAAACTGTAATTAAAAATAGGAAAATTTGCACTGGGTACTATATACCCATGGTTAGTGTTCTACGTTTAAGGCAACTGGAATCCTCTGAAACCACTGGAACTATATACCCGTGGTTAGTGTTCGAGGGTTAAGGCAAGCAAGAGATGCACAAATGCAATCTCTGCAAAACTCAGTGTAGGAGCAGGAACATTTAATTTTACCTGTTATTCTTTTATTATTGTTGTGTTAGGTTTAGAGTTCAGGTTTAAAGTTGAGACGATGTTGTGTATTGATAAACAAAATCTACGAGTGTTGAATTGGTTTAGAAAATCAACAAACCCGAGAATGGAATAAAAGAAATTTTTTATTCGATCGACAAATTTTTGTGAAAAGAAAGTTCTGAAAGTAAGTGCAAAATTTGCATCCTACCTGGACATAGGCATGGTGTGAAAGTGGGCTGGCCTCTTGGGATTCACACCATCGATGCTCCCAGTTGGCAGGGTTTTCAATGCATGTGCGTCTGGCAAAAAACTGTAACATCTGCTACTCTATCAAGTTTTCTGATGAGTGGATGAAATCTTCATGAGTAGGGACAGATAAATGAACATATAATTTTATTTGTTGCTATATATATATATATATATATATATATATATATATATATATATATATATATATACACACACAAAAATGTATAATATATATATATAGAATATTGGCATCCCAAATTTCCAGGAACCAGTTCTATAAAGGCAAGTAATCTTTAGGAACCTATTCTGCTTATTTTCCTTTCAATCTGAAAGTAGAAACAGATCACATAATATCAAAAAGAATTAAGCAATTTTGATAATTTAATAGAAAACATTTATTTATTAAGATATTTCCAGATTGAAATTCTGTTCTTATCATATTTCTATTCAGGAGTCAGATGCTTTTTGACACTAGTGTCATCAGCTGTGTTATGGTTTCATAGCCACATTTGAACGGAATTGCTACAATACCAAAGATCCAATGGAAAATCTATCAAATTTATGACTAGAAGAGGTGCCACATTTTTAACTTCAAGAGAATTTCTTTTGTCAGAATAAATTATGTTCGTCATAGAAAACCTTCTTTCAGCCTCTACAGAATTTACAATAATGATATTTCTAGCTATTATATATCAGCTATTAATATATAAGAATTTTTAAGGACAATCCATCAACTAGTTCGCTAAGCTTTTATAATTTTAAGAATTGTTTGGTGCAAACTGGTAAGGATGCTGCCACTGTTATATTTAACAGCCCCACCATGAGGGTTGTATGTGGCACAAGGCCTAGTTTACTGTGGGTTATCTGAGCTCGTAGGGTCGGCCAAAAATATTTCCTTAGAACCTGTATAAACGGGTTCAGGGTCTGTCTGTCTCCCTGGACGAAACTTTACCCTTTGACAAAGCCTCGTCTGAGTTCCTCTCTGTTCAAGGCAGAGAGTTTGACAGTTGAACATGCTAGAGCACTGTTCCCAGGATGCTACCACTGTGTGTATATATATATATATATATATATATATATATATATACATACATGAGCAGAAGTTTTAAATTCTAAAAAGGTTAGATAATTTTGCTTCTTTTTTTTTTTAGTTTTGTCAAACCTTAAAAATCACCAGCATAAAAAAAGACAATCCCAACTATCTTAAAATTGAAAGCTAGTTTAATACATTATGTAAATACAGCAGAATCTCTATATCATGAATTTTGTTTATATTGTACATTTCTTGTTTTTAAAATCTATTCTAGTATTAGTTTCTTACATGCTTTCAAAAATAATTATGCTCATTCTAATTGTTAAAATCCTTAATCCATTCATTATAGACTTCATCAAATGACATTTGGTTTTCACAACTTGGATTTTGGTCAATTTAGTCATTAATATTTCTTTTGTACTATCCTGAAAGACATTTAAAAGATGTAAATTTAGTTTTTCACAATAGGATATCATTTTTTTAAGTATTGACTACAACCAAAAAGTATGAATTTATTTTCAATTCTGAAACCATTCTTTACATTGGACAAAACAAATATAACTTCTAAAACGGCGTTGATTTTTATTGTGAACAAATGATATGAATATATATTATTCTTACACTACATATTAAAAATAAAACATTTTAAAAGAAATATTTTTCTTGAATGTGGAGTTTGTTAAACTGGAAAGGCTAAAGGGAAGTAATTCTTGATTCCTAATTGCACGAAGACAAAAATAATCCTGTTTAGTTTATTAATTAAAATAAGTATAACTTTGACCTGGAGAATATGTTTTAATTCTTTAAAAAGTTATTTATAACTCGTAATAAATGAAATAATTTTAGCATCTATTTTTATGATTGTGTAAGTTTAAGGCAAATTAATAAGAATTCATTATATCTTGTAGGCGATATATTGCACACTCAAGACATGAAATGTCAATCGATGCTGACGTTGTTGAAATAGAGTTTGTTGTTTATAGACGCATGCGTACATTTTGGCGCCATAATACAAATACGTTTTAAAAATATTTCATAATCTCTGGTAAAAAAAAGTATATCTATTATGACAAATTTATTTTCGAACGAATTCATTATTAAGTGCTAAGGATAAAGTAAAGAAAAATATGTATTGGAAAGTTTAAAGGTTATACAATTTTAATTATTTATAAAAAAATAATAATTTATATGTTATATTGTTAAAACTAAAATAATGTTTTTAGAGAACCTCGTGATTTTATATTGGAAATATTTTGTTGAACTGTATTTTGAAAATGAACTAATTGCCTAAACAGTCATTTATAGATGTTGAAGCCTATGACCTTGAAGACAAAAGAGTGAACAAGCAAAAAAAATAGACGAGATAAGAGACTTTTTAAGGTTTCATCAGTAATTTTATTGATAAGAAGAAGTGTTGTTCGATACATGTCCTTTGTCGTGGTTGTGAAACGTTGTCAATCCGTCTCTAGAGAGATTTAGGATTTAAAGTTTTAACCAAGAATTGCTTTTTTGTGTTGATCCAAAAAGAAAGAGAAGCAAAATGCCTGTTTTCACTGATGATAACATCAATCAAACAAAATCTGGAAACGTAAAATATGCCCAAAATACAGGTAAAAATTCTAATTGATTTATTTGAATTAAAATTTAAATTCTATTTTTTTAAATAGCCAACAGGAAAAAAAAAACAAAAAATTAACATGACTTATTTGTCAACGAGTTTAATTTATTTTAAAATATAAAAACTTGCAAACTTTAGCTGTTCAGTAAAAATGAAAAAAAAAAACAATTTGAATTTAATAGACGAAAAGACTTCTCTTCAGGATAAATTCTTCACAACGGATATCAAGCCAACGCCCACACACTAAAATGTTTTGCGCGGGAGTCTTCGTAAATGTATATAAAATTAAAAAAGCAATTATTTTTTGCCCACTTCATTTCGCCTAAAATGAGAAAACAGCTTCTTTTTCTCTATGATTACTTCATCAGTAAAACTACGTGTGCTGTAGTGTAGTGTGTACATAATTTATCCTAAGTGTTTACTTTACCACAATAGATCACAGTCACTCTTCTTTTTAGTCTTCTTTTGTTTCTTAGTGGGAATGTAGGAGATGAATTTTTACATTTTCCCACTGATATTTGATCAGAATAATACTCAAAACAGGTTACAAAGTTATAAAAAGATGCAATTCTAAATTGTCAACTTTTATTTATTGATAGCGTCCATACACCATTATTAATTCAGCAGGTAAAAGACTAAAACAGAGTATAAGTTCCTTTTTGTCCCCGTTTTGCTTTCCTAGTAACCACGAAACCAAACTTTACAAGTCCCACAATTTACACAGAGGGGAATATTTTTCTCTTTTTTTTAAAATTAGTTTTTAGCTTATTTATGTTTTTTACTATTTTACACCGTGGATTTGTAATTTCCCAAAAACTTAAATTATTGACACTTTGACTTTAAAAATGACTTCACTTTAAAAAAAATGCATTTCGGAAAAAGTAGGAAAAATCGATAACTAAAAAAAGGAAAAGCCGATTGAAAATTGATTTTAGGGCCGTTCTGGAGTGAGGATTTGGAGGTTAATCCCCTTCTACAATAATACCAAACTTGCAGAAGGTGGGGGACGAAGCTTCCTTCCCCAATATTTAAAAAAAAAAAGTATTATTAACTATGGGGGTAAAACCCCACTGCAACAATACAAGGGCCGTACTTTCTGGAGGTGGCTAGCCACCCACTACCTTTTAAGTAAGTTATTATTATTAAGTAAAAATAAGTCATGGTTTTCACTTTTCAGTCCAGATAAAACCTCACTGCAACAATACCAGGGTCATACTTTTTGGTTTGGATGAGAATTTTAGGGGGCTAAGTTCCCCTCCAATATTTTTTAAATAAGTATTTAATTACTATTAAATATTTAATTACTATTAAATATTTAATTACTATTAAATACTCTATTGTTTCAAGCAAATAAAGTCGATTTATCTAAGCTAAAAAGTTAAGTTCTTGTATCTTATTTTCAAATTATTATTTAAATTAAAAAGTGGTAAATAAATTAACTTTTAGATAGTTATTTCTTTTTAAAGAAGCAAAAACTATATAACCTCATTTTTATTTCGAAAAAATAAGGGAGGGGTCTTAGCCGCCAAATCCACACACCAGAACGGCCCCCAAATCCTTGGGCCTTGTATTAGGTGAACATTTAGTAAAAAAAATAAAGTCAGTATTTTTTTTTTTTTTTTTTTTTTTTTTTTACACATTTTTAAACTCTAAGTATGCAGATGAATGTAACTTCAAGCTGTTTATGTAACTCCTGTATAGGAGATATTATAAAACTTTCATGGTTTCACATATAGGGGCACAGTAAGTAGCATCTTTGATGTCCTTTGTCTTCTCACAATCAAAAATGGATGGTCCATTATTTATGAGGTATTAGCAGAAGATGTTAAACACTTCTGTCTTTCTTTCCTTCATTGAAACCAAGTAGTGTTTCATGATAAGTGATCAAAATGGAATAGTCCATTATTTATGAAGTATTGACAGGGTGTAATGGTCGTGTGAATTAAGGAAGCCCAGTAATTATAGGATAATAATAATATTAATAATAATATTAATAAATGACCAGATGCCACAACGGGTATGGCTCATGTTGCTGACCACAGCCAAGAGGTTGATGTACAGTGTATCATACTCCTTTTCTGTCTATTGAATAGGAGTAGAGGTTTATCCCTTGATTCCTGTTTAGGATTGGGTTTTCGGTTCCTTTTAATGTCTTCTCATTCTTTTTCATTCCTAGGTAACCCTTTGTGTCTTAGTGGCATTATCTCTTTGCTTGGGGTGAAATGATTAAAAAAAAAATTGTTTATGTGTGGATGTAAGTAAATAGGGAGCATGGCTGTGTGTTGAGGGTGTTTTTTTTAATTTTGAAGAATGAGGTAGCCAATGTGACTTGAAAGTGGCATCTCAATACTTGGGAACACTCACATTTGAAGACTGTCTGGGTGAACTAGAAAGGATTTCTAACTAGGCCTTACTTGCAAGATTATGCACTGCTTTTATAAAAATCTATTACCATATTATTCATATTTGGTCATTTAGCTGTGATGCTTAGTGTACCTTTTTTGTATTCATTAGAAACCACCTTTCAAACTCTGACTCAACTGAAAGTCTAAATATGATAGAGAAAGTATATTTGTCCACAAAATCATACATGTCTGGTGATGTCCCCAACATTTCAAACTTCATCAGGAATATGACAAGGAGGAAATGAGATCCCTCACTCTATTTCATCTTTTCCTAGACTAGCCTGTCCATATGCAAGCACAGATGTGAAGAGATAGGCACTGATCATTTAAGCAATTCATAGTATATCCCAAATGAATTACTGTCCTGGGTATGACAATAAACTACGTTCAACAGCAAGGCTTCTGATCAGGAGGTTTTGAGGAGCATGGAACCACCTTTTAATTGCTGGTGTTCCCAGGTCCACCCTGACCTGGGGGGGTAGCACCTGTTTAGGTCCCAGCCATGAGCAAATAGTTGACACTCGAACTGGGGTCTTCTATTAGTTACTTTCAGTTGAAATTTATAAAATCCATCTCTTAAATGTAAAATGTAATGTAAAAATATGTTTCAATACCAGAAATACTTTATAAAAAAATTATTACTAGCTATACATTTTTGAAAAAAAAAAAAAATTACCTCCTATACATTTTTAAAAAAAAATACTACCAGCAATAAAAATATTGTCGACATTAAATAACCCATTGAGGTTGATATGCCGTAAAACAAACCAAACCAAAACAAATGAATTACTGTATTTTCTGGCTTCCTAAAAAAAATACCCTGAAAAATATTGTATGTCTTCCAAGACAAATGTATGGCAATGCCCAGGCTCAAGTAAACTTGGATGGTCACCTAATTGACTTGACTGATAGGGACATGGATTTGTATGTTGAGTCATTACACTATAATGTTAGCTAATTCAGCTTTTTATATGATGTCACCTCATTACTTAGTTATTACAAGTATTTCCAAGACTATAAACCTTCCTGGAGATGAGCCACAAGCTTAAACATGCTTTGTTTACTTTGTTTTCATTGCTATACAAACAAAATTGGATGAGTGATTAATTTAAACAATACATGACAGCAGTATGTGAGGGACACATGATGAATGTGTTATTGTATGAGAATTACTATTTTTTTCTTAGAAATTTCTTTCCATTACTGAAGTGCGTCTTCCAAGCCAGAAAATATGGTAACTAATAGAAGACAGTGTTCTTGCTTTCCCTTTCAAGGTCAATGTACTGATGGTGTGGGAGTGGGGGTGGTATTTTGATGACATAGGTACTTATAGTTAGGACAAGAATGATCTTGAACAACAAGTCATCGTCCTGTACCAAGTGCCAAGAAATAGAACTCAAGATAAATCTTTTATAAAATAGAAACTTTGATCTGTAATTGGAATGAATGCTACCATAAATCCATTGCAAAAATTCAGGATGTGGAATTAAACATTTCAAATAACTGAATGTATGGATCAGCTATAACAGATTTACTTTGGGATATAAAGAAACTGAACATAAGAAAGGCTGTGCTAGGAGTAGTTTTGCACAATACTACAAATTGCTACAAAACCAAAATATTTAACTAGAACTTGAGTCATTTTCTTAAATAGCCTCGTTAAATCAAGGGACTTTCATATGGATGCCATGCATGGCACCAAACTCATTCAGAAATATCTAAACTGTCAGCTGTATGCAATCATTTTCTCACATCAATTGTTAGAGGTGGTTTTGAGTGAACAAAGGCTGAAGGTCTTTCTTAACTAGGGCCACACTTCTTTGAACCTTGTGGACTGGTGCTACAGAATCATAAAAAACTGTATCAAATAATAGAAACTATATCACTTGAGGAATTTCAACAACAGCAACAGCTAAAATGTATGTCACATGTAATTCAAAGAGAAAATAATGCCATAACGTTGACATTCCACAGTACTTCAAATAAAAAGTTAAGGAGGAAACCTCCATCAATACTGGAAAGAGCATTAATAGTTACTGGACTTGAGAAGGGTATTTTTCTGAAAAATTGTTTTAAGAGATGGATTTTATAGATTTCAACTGAAAGAAGCAATAGCTTCTTGATCAATGAATAACTAAATGTTTCCTTATAAGGAAACAGCTAATATTACCATTTATATTTGTACCATTATGTCACTTTATTGGTGTGTTGCTCACTCACTCAATAAGGATAGCATTAATAATAATAATAATTCATATCTTGACAGAAAAGCTGATCCTTTGTCTATCACATGCTGTCTGTGTGAGACTTTTCATGTGCATATGTAATAAATATATGTGTATATCTGTGTTGTACATTAGTAACTTACATGTGCTTGTACAATGACAAAGAGGCTCAAATCAAGGCACAGCTTTTTACACTCAACTGAACCGCAGAACAGCATAGCTCCTAATCAGTGTCTGTCCCAGTGCTGCAACTACTTTAGCAGCATGGGACGCAAGGTCTCTCTCAGCCCTACAGAATCTGTCCCCCACCCTAAGCTGGCACCAGTGATGCCTGGAACCTTCTGGTTCTGCCTGAATAGCCT